TCATCACTAATACCAATATCAGCACCATCACCATCACTATAATCATCACCACCATCACCACCATCATCACCACCATCACCACCATCACCACCATCACCACCAGTGCTACAGTGATCAGCATAATCACCTCCATCACTATCACCATCAGCACTACCATCACCATCATCATCATCACCATCACTATAATCATCACCACCATCACCATCACTATAATCATCACCACCATCACCACCATCATCATCACCATCACCATCACCACCATCACCACCATCATCACCATCACCACCAACCCCATCATCATCATTACCATCATTATCCTATCGGTATCATCATTACCACCTGTTGTGTGTGGTTTTCTGTCCTGCCCGGTTCCTGCAGTCCTTAAGTCCCAAAGAAATCACACAGAAGTCTATATTAATGATAAACTGATTGGCTCATTAGCTCAGGCTTCTTATTAACTCTTATAACTTTTTTTTTTGTTTTTTCGAGACAGGGTTTCTCTGTAGCTTTGGTGCCCGTCCCGGAACTAGCTCTTGTAGACCAGGCTGTCCTCGAACTCCCAGAGATCCGCCTGTCTCTGCCTCCCAAGTGCTGGGATTAAAGGCATGCGCCACCACCACCCAGCCAACTCTTATAACTTATATAGGCCATTATTCTTGTCTATTTAGCCACGTGGCTCGGTACCTTATTTGGCGGAGCAGTCACATCTTTATTGCTCTGTGGCTGGATCAGGACTGCGGACTGCATCCTGTTCTGAGAATTCTCTTCTTCTTATTGCCCTGCCTATACTTCCTGCCTGGCTACTGGCCAATCAATGTTTATTTAAAATATAATTGACAGGATACAGACCATTGTCCCACAGCAACCACCATTACTATCATCATCATCATCACCACCATCATCATCACCATCAGCACTACTCATCATCACCATCACTACCATCATTACTCTATCAGTATCATCATCATCACCATCACAACCATCATCACCATCATCATCATCACCATCAGCACTACTCATCATCACCATCACTACCATCATTACTCTATCAGTATCATCATCATCACCATCACTACCATCATTACTCTATCAGTATCATCACCACCACCATCACAACCATCATCACCACCATCATCATCACCACCACCATCACAACCATCATCACCATCATCATCATCACCATCAGCACTACTCATCATCACCATCACCACCATCATCATCACCATCAGCACTACTCATCATCATCATCACCATCATCATCATCACCATCAGCACTACTCATCATCACCATCACTACCATCATCACCATCATCATCATCACCATCAGCACTACTCATCATCACCATCACTACCATCATTACTCTATCAGTATCATCATCACCACCATCACTACCATCATCACCATCATCATCATCACCATCAGCACTACTCATCATCACCATCACTACCATCATTACTCTATCAGTATCATCATCACCACCATCACTACCATCATCACCATCATCATCATCACCATCAGCACTACTCATCATCATCATCACCACCATCATCATCACCATCAGCACTACTCATCATCACCATCACTACCATCATTACTCTATCAGTATCATCATCATCACCATCACTACCATCATTACTCTATCAGTATCATCACCACCACCATCACAACCATCATCACCACCATCATCATCACCATCAGCACTACTCATCATCACCATCACTACCATCATTACTCTATCAGTATCATCATCATCACCATCCCTACCATCATCAGCATCATCATTATCACCATCACTGTCATCTCCCTCCTCCACCACCACCACCACTACCATCATTACTCTATCAGTATCATCATCATCACCATCCCTACCATCATCACCATCATCATCATCACCATCAGCACTACTCATCATCATCATCACCACCATCATCATCACCATCAGCACTACTCATCATCACCATCACTACCATCATTACTCTATCAGTATCATCATCATCACCATCACTACCATCATCACCATCATCATTACCACCATCAGCACTACTCATCATCACCATCACTACCATCATTACTCTATCAGTATCATCATCATCACCATCACAACCATCATCACCACCATCATCATCACCATCAGCACTACTCATCATCACCATCACTACCATCATTACTCTATCAGTATCATCATCATCACCATCACTACCATCATCAGCATCATCATTATCACCATCACTGTCATCTCCCTCCTCCACCACCACCACTACCATCACTACCACCACTACCATCACCACTGAATGAAAAGGAAAATAAAAAGGGAAAGGAAAGGAAATACTGCTCTTAGGTATGGTGGAGGGGAAAGGTTTATTACAGATATGCGGGAAAGCATGGCCAGACGCAGGAACATCTGGGAAAGTCCAGAGTGGACATGGTCAAACTGAGCTGTGCCATGTGAGGAGAGGGAGCCAACAGACCCCAAAGTACAATGAGAGCAGGTAACCAAAACGTCTGGAAGAGCAGCCCAGCCCCGTTTCAGTGTTTCTTTCTCAGTCGTGTGTTTCTGCCACAACTTCATGTGGTCATGTGGTCTGTGGTCTCAGGAGATGACAGAGCAAACCCGTGGAAGGTAAGTGAAGGGCAAGTTCACTTATGCAGCCATGGGGAGTCGTCATTGGCTGAGACGTGGTGACAGGGAGGCTGTTTGGGATCACCCGAGGTCCTGCAAGGACCCCTCCCTCTGCTCTATAAGTAGATTGAATCTTCGTGAAATTCTTACTTAGTCTTTCTTTGGAGCCTTATTTGGGAAGGGGGAACAGGTGTTTATCTCTCCCACATCCATCCCCCCCCCAAATTCATGCAACAATCGTCACCACTGTTACAACCATTACCCTAACTACCATTATCATCACCTTCATCCTTACCATCGCCTCGTCAACAATCTCTGCGGATTGACAGTTGGTAAGGAAAACGGGCTCTTAAGTTGGGCATAGTGGCCCACACCCACAGTTTTTTAAAAGATTTATTTACTTATTATGTATACAGCGTTCTGTCTGCATATATGCCTGTAGGCCAGAAGAGGGCACCAGATCCCATTATAAATGGTTGTGAGTCATCATGTGGTTGCTGGAAATTGAACTCAGTACCTCTGCAGAGAGCAGCCAGTGCTTAGCCATCTCTCCAGCCCCCACACCCCACACCCACAATTTTACCACTTAGCAAGCAGAGGCAGGAAGACCAGGAAGGAGCTAATCTCACCACTGAATAACAGTAAGGAAAGAGCCAGGCAGTGGTGGCGCATACCTTTAATCTCAGTACTTGGGAGGCAGAGGCAGCTGGATCTCTGTAAGTTTGAGGCCAGCCTGGTCTACAAGAGCTAGTTCCAGGACAGGCTCCAAAGTTACAGAGAAACCCTGTCTCTAAAAAACAAAACAACAACAACAACAACAATAAATAAATAAATAAAAAGTAAGGAAAGAGAAACGTCTCTGAACGCAAGCTCCTAAAGGTCATATCCACTGGCTACCTGTGGGGCCTGGACATTTCTTCAGCTGGATGTTCAGCCTGATGCCTGGATCTGGTTTTTATTGTGTAATCACTTCCCCTCTGTCTTCTTTTCGTGATGCATCCACACTGTGTTTTCCTTCCTTGTAGTTTACGTCATTGTTCTGATTGAGACAGGATCGTGGTGAGTAGCCTAGGCTGGTGTTATATTCCAAATAGACCTCCTGCCTCGGTGTCTAAGTGTTGAAATTACAGCCATGTTCTGTGACACATTTATTTGGGCCAGTTTTTTTTTTCATTTTACATACCAACCACAGTTTCCCCAACCCCCTCCCTCCTCAATCCCCCATCTACTCCTCAGAAAGGGTAATGCCACTCCTTATGGGGGTCATTTTTTTTCAAACCATCCCACCCTTCCCCTATCTCACCAGACAGATGGGTAGAGTCTGGACACTGGCTTGCTGGTTGAGGGGCTATTATAGAAAGGCAAAGTGCAGGCAGGGAGGGAGCGGGCTCCCCGGGTATCACATAGTTGGACCTGGGATACAAAACGGATGGTGTGGGTGGAAAGACAGAGAAAAGCTCCCGGAGATAGCCAATTAAGGGGACAAAAGCCTCTTTAGTGAAGCCAGTCCAGGCGCAGAGTCAACCTCAGCAATTAAGGTTGAGAGCCGTCAGGAGACTTGTGGAGGGGTTTGCGGGCTGTTGAAAGAAGGGTCTGGGCTCTGAGAGGGGTGCCTGCACCTCCAGGTGTGGGTCAAGTACTTCATCCCCAGGCTCACATCACCCCAGAGCTTCCTCTTTGCTCGAGGTCCAGAATCAATTTAGGGGAAACTGAGGCCCAAATGACTCAGGAAACAGAAATGGATGGCTTCTGTGAGGAGGTCGTTTACGGAATCCTGAGGTTCGTGCAGTGGAAGCCGGGGATAAGTCAGGGGTCAGAATAAGCAAATACTGCCCGGGTGTCCCTACGTTGTATTTATTTAATTTCATCTATTTATTCTGTGTCACCCGTTATTAATTCTGTAGTGTGTGTGTCTGTCTGTCTGCCTTTGCACTTGTGTGTGTGTGTGTGTGTGTGTGTGTGTGTGCGCGCGCGCGCGCGCGCGCGTGACAGGCTCTCACTAGGTAGCCCAAAAATGATCTTGAACTGGCATCCTCCTGCCTCAGCCTCTCCAAAGCTTGGATTACATGCGGGTGCTACCACCTTAGCATGTAATAGGAAAGCCTGTTAGGAACTCCAGATCTTCCAGCAGACTGGGCAAGGGCATAAAGCGCAGCGACCTGGCCAGGGCCACCTAGAGCGCTCCACCCGCATTCCCTGTTAGAATCAAGCCCTCACCGCCACTCACGCCCTTATCGGTTCTCCATTGGTCCGATACTCTATCTTCCCGCCCCATCGTGTTTCTGCGGACCAATAAGATCCCAGAAACTGACTCGCCTTAGCCGTCCCGCCCCTCGCAGGCCGCAGCAGAGGCGCGGGGCGGATTGGCTTGCTCGGGAGGGAGGGGCGGACAAGTAAGGCGCGCGGACCACGTGTCCAAAGCGGGCCAAACGGTGACTCAGTCCGGAACCTGTGAGGGTGTAGTGACGAAAGTGCGCAGAAGGCACCTGTTGGAGGGGTTGGCTGGACTCGAACCTGGTACCGCCGGGTAAGTCCAACCGCTGCTCCTTGCAGACCGGGAAACGGAAGCCTTGCCCGAAAGAGGCGGGACTCCAGTTGGTGTCAGGATGGACCGTCAGGGAGGGACTCGAACCCTCCCCGGAGCTAAGTTTTGTATCAGTCCCCGGGAGAGGGCGACTCTCACCCTTATTTCTTCCAGGAAGGAAAGGATTCCCAGAGAGGGGAGTGAAACTCACTCAAGGTCACACAGACTGGAAATCTGGGTTCCAGAAGTGTGTGCAGTGGCCACTTGCCGAATTAAGCAGCTTCATCGCGATCCTTCCGCAGGAGGTCACCCACCTCAGCCTAGGACAGGCTTCCCCCACAAAGGACTCCTTCCAGAACCTCCACAGTGCCCTCAAAACTCTATCCAGACATCCCCACTCCTTCTTACACGCTCTCCCCCGGTTCTTTTTCGCTGTCAAATTAGTCATTTTCTGTCCCAAACTCTCACCCAAGGCTTCGTCTTCAAATCATCAAACCCAGCTGGTTGGAACTTTTTTTTTTTTTTTAAATAAATGAACTACAAGTGTTATAAAGGTTAGGGCAGGGTGACACATGCTTGTAATGCCAGCACTTAAGTTTGCCAGGAGACTGAGCCAAGCCTTGGAGGCCAGCCAGGAGTACAAGGTTTGAAAGATCTTGTCTTTCAAACAAACAAACAAACAAGATTGCACTGAACAGGTGTTCAGTGAAGAATAAATAGAAGATTTGTATAGGGTCTCCAGGTAGCAAACCAGCCTGCGGTGGTGTGGGATTACAGATGTCCACGCCCACATTTATGTAGCCTCATTTTGTTTGTGTTTTTACAAATAAAGCTTGCCTGAAGATCAGAGTGCAGAGCTAAGCCACTAGAGGCCAGGCAGTGGTGGTGCACACCTTTGGTCCCAGGATTTGGGAGTCACACACCTTTAATCTCAGCACCAGGGAGGTGGAGACGTGGGGTGGGGTGGGGTGAGGTGAGGGGAGAGGACTATAACGTGGGAAGAGACAGGAGCTCAGCTGTAGTCTGAGACAGCAATCTGGAGCAGTCTGGATTTATAGAGACTGGCTTGCCCCTTTGTAGAGGTGAGAACACTCATGTGGCTGGCTGCGCTGCTTCTCTGACCTCCCAAATTTCACCCCGGATATCTGACTCTGGTTTTTATTATTAAGACCAGGTAGAATTCGCGTTACACATCTGGTTGAGCTTCACTCTTCTCATGCGCTAAGCGGTAACTGTAGATTGAACCCCACAACCCAGCCTTCTGTTTATTTATTTACTGGAGCAAAAATCTCACTGGGTTGTCCGGGCTAGCCTTGAACTTTGGATCCTCCGGCCTCAGCCTCCCAGGGAGTAGTTAGGCGATGACACAAAACCCATCTTATTGAAGTTGACATGTTTTACACATAGAATATATTACCTGAGGGGGTTGGAGAGATGGCTCAGTGGTTAAGAGCATTGCCTGTTCTTCCAAAGGTCCTAAGTTCAATTCTCAGCAACCACATGGTGGCTCACAACCACCTGTAAAGAGGTCTGGTGCCCTCTTCTGGCCTGCAGACATGCACACAGACAGAATATTGTATGCATAATAAATAAATAAATATTTAAAAAAAAGAATATATTACCTGAGACAGGGAGATGGCTCCGTTGGGAAAAGCCCGCACATGCTGAAAGCCAGGTAGAGCGGTCTGGCCAGACTATCTGAATCTATGTGCTTCAGCTGCAGTGAGAGACCCTGTCTCAAAAACAATAAGGTGGACAGCAGTAGTGGGGGACACTGACCTCTGACCTCCGCACACATGCACGTACACACAAACAGAACACATTTCTTTATAAGGTTCACTTAATATTTTTATTTATGCGTGTGTGTTTGCATGGATTTTATGCACAGTACGTGCACGCAGGTGCCCACGGAGGCCAGAGGGCATTGTCTCCTAGAACTGGAGTTGCAGGAGGTTTTCAGCCACCCTGATGTTGGTGCTAGGAACCAAACCCAAGTCCTCATCTCTCTAGCCCCATGGGAACATATTTCTTAGGATAGGCACATTGGCGGATTGTGGGGCAGGTGAGACCAAGTCTCATAGTGCCCAGGCTGGCCTAGAACTCAATATACAACTAAAGATACAAGTCTTCTCATCTCCTGCCTACATCTGCCTGGTGTACCAGCATGCCCAGTTTATGCATCCTTGGGGATGAGCCCCGGGTTCTGTGTATGTTAGGCAAGCCCTCCACCAACTGAACTACAGCCCCAGCCCCTGTCGTTGGTTTTGTTTGTTTGTTTGTTTTATTTTTGCTTTTTGAGACAAGATCTCTCTATGTAGCCTTGACTGTCTGTCCTGGAACCCACTGTGTAGACCAAGCTGTGGATCACAGAGATCTGCCTGTCTCTGCCCCGTAAGTGCTGGGACCAAAGGTCTACACCACTACACCTGGCCTGAGTTTTTGTAATAACAAATATCTGCATCCTTACCACATAGCTTAAAAAAATAGCCTGTCATTCAGCAACATCCCCCTTGGTGCCCCTCTCTGCTGGGTCCCCTCATCCCTCAGTGTCCCCCTCTGCTGGGTCCCCACCTCCCTCAGTGCCCCCCTCTGCTGGGTCCCCACCTCTCTCAGTGTCCCCTCTGCTGGGTTCCCACCTCCCTCAGTGCCCCCCTCTGCTAGGTCCCTGTGTCCCCACACTCCACTGAATGAATAGGTGGTGACTGAGGACAAACAAATCCACACAGAGATGGTGGGGAAAAGCTGCAGAGAAAGCCCAGTGGGAACCCCAGTTCTGCAGCAGTTAGAGGACCCAGCACCAACAGCCTCCTAGGAACACTGACTGACGCGTGTCATGGCTTGTGAAACCTCCAACCCCGTGGGTGTACAGACACTAGGGGGGAAGCCCTTTGGCACACAGGTTTCTCTCTTGTCAGAGTGTTACTGGGCAGGGGGCTTCACCTTATCTCTTCTTTGTTTTAAATTGTGGGAAAATACCTATAAAATGAACTTGTCCACTTGGCTGGGGAGATGGCTCATTCAGCCAAGTGCATGCCGTACAGACATGAACACCATGCAGAAAGCCAGCATGGGCCCAGTTGCATGTGCTTGTTGCCCCACAGTGGAAGGCAGAGAGACTCTGGTTTAGTGAGAGACCTTGTCTAAGGCAATAAAATGAAGAGCAGTGGAGGAAGATACTGGACATCCTGCTGCAGCCACACAGGCTTGCACATGCACTTGTGTGCAGGCGTGCACACACACACACACACACACACACACACACACGCGTGACAAAGTGAACAGCACCCGAGGAACATATCAGGTTGTCCTCTGGTCTGCACAAGTGCCATGTGTACACCCACATTGTCCCGGCGGGGGGCCGGACAGACAAAGCCACAGGCTCACACAGCCAGGGGTGGGGAGGGAGGGGTTTGAGGTGACTGCTAAAGGATGCAGCCATGAAGATGCCCTGTACCTAGGTTAATGGTGATGGGCACACACATAGATGTGCCCTCTGTGCATTTAACCTTCAATTTGGCTGTAAAATTTTATTAATTTTGTGTTAATAGTCTTCATTTTTATTTAAAATTATTACGTTATTTACGTGGTTTAACTGCATGTATGGCAGCATGACATCTGTGCTGGCGTCGAATCCCTCGGAACTGGAGTTACAGATGGCTGTGAGCTTCCACGTGGGTGCCGGGAATCAAACCCAAGTCCTCTGCAAGAGCAGTCAATGCTCTTAACTGCTGAGCCATCTCTCCAGCTCCTTCACTGGCTTTTTTTTTTTTAATTTATTTTTCGAGATAGGGTTTCTCTGTGGTTTTGGAGCCTGTCCTGGAACTAGCTCTTGTAGACCAGGCTGGCCTCGAACTCATAGAGATCCACCTGCCTCTGCCTCCCGAGTGCTGGGATTAAAGGCGTGCGCCACCACTGCCTGGTCTTCATTGGCTTTTTAAGATAAAGTCTTATTCCATATTCCTAGTTGGCCTGGAGCTCCCTTTTTAATCCCAGGCTGGCTTTGAGCACTCAGCCTCCTGAGTGCAGAAATTACAGCCATGGGTCGTTCAGGACATTTCCTGTGAGTACTCTCCTGGCCCTTCTTAGGGACCATTTACGCGGAATACCGCACTTTTGGGCTTCGCCAGAGTGTTCGTGCCTGGGAGAGCTTCATTGTGACTGGGTGGTGTGCCATTGTGTGGGTAGCTTTCCGAGTCCCAGCAGGACGTTCAGCAACAGTGGGGTTTTTTGTTGTTGTTGTTGGTGGTGGTGGTGGTTATTCATTTGTTTTGAGACAGGGATTAAAGACATTAAAGACATGTACCACCACTGCCCTCAGCAACAGTGTTTTGTACATGGGTAAACTGAGGCTGGCACTCAACCGTTGACCTTTCTGGAAGTCTGGCTTTAAGGGTCTCAAAGAGCCTGACATGGTGGCATGCGCTATTAGCCAGAGCTACATAGCTTGTTTTTAATCTCAAAGATAATGTCCCAGATCTGTGTGCTCCTGGGCAGGTTTCCCCAGGGGTGGAGGCCTCAGGGAGCTCCACTAGTGACAGGGGAGAGTGGGGAAGCCACTAGTTGTTGACATTGTACAACCTTTGTGCAGAAGGAGAGAGCTGGGGAGGGCGTCCTGGAGGGGGACATGGGGCTGAGGCAGGTATCTATGCTCGGATCTAAAACAGGGCGGAGGGAGAGAGGAAGGGAGGAAGGAGGGAGGGAGGGAGAAAAGGAGGGAAGAAAAAAGGGAGGGAGTGAGAAAAATAAGAAAAGGAGGGAGAAAGGGAGGGAGCGACTCTCAGGCCAAGGACAGCAAAGCAAAGGCCTGGAGGTGGGAGCAGGAGCACAAGGTGCAGGGGCCACAGAACCAAGTGAGGGAACCCTCATCCCCGGCTGCATCCTGCAAAGCTCCAGTGATTGACCTTACTGGAGCAGCAAGGGAATGAAGAAAAGGTAGATACAGGGATACCCGAACACGAACATGCGGCTGGGTGGCCTTCTAATGAAGAAGCTCCAGCATCACCCTGCCTCACAGCCTCCGGATCTTTATCATCTACAGCGGAACAGGGAGGCGGATATTAATACAGATAAACAAGGGGGTGGGGGATGTTGGCTACCGATGCACAAAGAGGCAGGTTTAGCTGGCTGGAGTAGGAGCAGTCTCCATAGGCAGGGGGGCAGTCCCTGTAGGTAGGGGGCAGTCCCTGTAGGCAGAGGACAGTCCCCATAGACAGGGGGCAGTCTCCGTAGGTGGGGGGGAGTCTCCGTAGGCAGGGGGCAGTCTCCATAGGCACGGGGCAGTCTCCATAGACAGGGGGCAGTCTCTGTAGGTAGGGGGGAGTCTCCGTAGGCAGGGGGCAGTCTCCATAGGCAGGGGCAGTTTTGTCCCAACCGGGGTAACAAAGCAGTGGTGGACATTTCTGTACACACTATCAGTATTCCCGCTCAGGCCTGAAGAAGGCTTTGTCCATTTCCCATGGGTCTGAGGGTTTGATTTTTGGTTGTGAGCATACCAACAATTCCCATTCACCGAAGACTTCCCTTGAATCCCTACAATCCCACCTGACCCTGCCTACTGTCCCTCCGTCCACCCCCAGACCATGGCAGCAGCCAGGGCTAGCCTGGGCCGAATCCTCCCAGAGTCCTCCATCCTGTTCCTGTGCGACATGCAGGAGAAGTTCCGTCCCAGCATAGCCTATTTCCCTCAGATTGTGTCGGTGGCCGCTCGGATGCTCAAGGTACCAACTACCTCCGTCTTGCAAGACCCAAGGGGTTCAGGCCCAAGCCCTCCTCCCCAGACCCAGGAATCCAGTCCACAGCCCTCATCCTTGGGATCCAGCCCTATGTGTCCTTTTTCATGTAGGTGGCCCGGCTGCTAGATGTCCCTGTCTTGCTGACGGAGCAGTACCCACAAGGCCTGGGTCCCACAGTTCCAGAGCTGGGCGCTCAGGGCATTAGGCCAGTGAGTAAGACGTGCTTCAGCATGGTGCCCACCTTACAGAAGGAGCTGGATGGCCGGCCGCAGCTGCGTTCGGTGTTGCTCTGTGGCATTGAGACCCAAGTCTGCATCTTGGTGAGACCCTGCCTGTCCCTTGGGCTCCCCATTCTCACCTCCTGGCCCTCCCTCCTTCCCTGGGGTGCTGGTTGAGCCTCCTCATCCCCAGTTCTGACTGGGGAGTCCCTCGCTGAGAGAGCTGTTTGTATGCTGGGTCTGGACCTGGACCTCTCTGCTCTTAGAACACGGCCCTGGATCTCCTGGAGCGGGGACTGCAGGTCCATGTGGTGGTGGACGCCTGCTCTTCTCGAAGGTGAGAGGGTCTCAGTGGGGTGGCCCCTGCCGTGTATGTCAGGCACACCACAGCATGGATGCCTGCCCTCTCTCTCTTTCCTGTAGCCAGGTCGACCGGCTGGTGGCGATGGCCCGCATGAGGCAGAGCGGGGCTTTCCTCTCCACCAGCGAGGCACTCATTCTGCAGCTTGTGAGGGATGCTGCCCACCCCCAGTTCAAGGAGGTAAAGGGCCCTTTGGGCTTCTGTGAATAGAAGGATACTTCCTATTTGAGAAAGGGTTTCCTGTGTGCCAGGCTCTCCTAGGACACACCGTGTGGTCAAGGGTGGCTTTAAACTCGCGCTGTTTGTATCTCTGCCTATTTTATTTATACTTGAGAGGAAGAGAGAGAGAGAACGCGCGCGCGCGTGTGTGTGTGTGTGTGTGTGTGTGTGTGTGTGTTCAGAGTTCTACGTGAGGGAGTCAGTTCTCTCCTTCACCCACTTTGGGTCCCAGGATAGTATGCAGATCACAGGTGCCCATGTTCACTGAAGCATTTTGCTAGCCCTGGCCCTTTCCGGTTGTTTGTTGCTGTTTCATTGGTTGCTCATGGGAATTTCCTGCCTCAGCCTCCTGCGCGCTAGGATTACGGCTGTGCTCATTATGCCATAATGAAAGAAGCATTTCTTCTCTTCTCTTTTCTTTCTTTCTTTATTTATTTTTGTTTGTTTTTAGAAACAGGGATTCTCTGTGTAGATTTGGAACCTGTCCTGGAACTCATTCTGTAGACTAGGCTGGCCTTGAGCTCAGAGATCCTCCTGCCTCTGCCTCCTGAGTGCTGGGATTAAAGGTGTGTGCCACCACCGCCCGGCAAGAAATATTATATCTTTGGGCTTTGGAAAAATCCAGGTATTGAGAGAGGCTGTTCATTCGCTCCCGGTGGGTAAAGGCTGAGATAGCAATATTATATTAGGGAGCACAGCGGAGTATGACCAGCCAGGAGGCCACTCAGGCGCCCTGGAATCAGTAGGAGGACTTAACTGGGACGCAGCAGTGGAGATGCGGGATTTGCGCTTTTTGGTCTAGTTATCCGGACAGAAATTGATGCCGGTTGGTTACTCCTGTTCACCCAAGAGGGACTTGTGTGAATGAAAGTGAGAATTCAAGGTCACATTTAGGCCAGTGTGGGGGCTGAAGGCTTAAAGGAACGGCAGCAGGAAAGTTGAGAATAGTGAAGAAGAGGAAGGTGTAGGCAAGAGGCCCTAAGACAGAGCTGTCCACCATTAGGGGTCCGGGGCAGCTGAGCAGACCAAGATGGCGGGTGACGAGTTCCTGTTTTTGTGGACCTGTGTGGAGAGTGGGTGGATGTGAGCATTCGCGTGTGTGCGGTGAGCATATATGTGTGTACACACATGTGGAGGCCTGAGGTTGGTGTCCAGAATCTTCCTTGATTGCTTTTCCACACGGAGGCAGGGTCTCCATGTCAGTCCTGCAGCTTGAGCCTGTGACTAGTCTCGCCAGATTGTTCTGGGGTTCCCGTCTCTGCCTCCAGCTAGTTTAGGTGGGTTCTTCATACGTGGACACCGAGTTACCCCCTCAGCCTATTTCCAGAGGAGCCTTTCTTTTTCCTTTATTATTATCTGTGTAGCTTTGGAACCTGTCCTGGAACTTGCTCTGTAGACCAGACTGGTCTTGACTTCTCAGAGATCCACCTGCCTCTGCCTCCCAAGTGTTGGGATTAAAGACATGCACCACCACCACCTGACCTATTTTGTTCTTTTTTTTTTTTTTAAGATTTAGTTATTAAGTATATAGTGTTCTGTCTGCATGTATACCTGTAGACCAGAAGAGGGCACAAGGTCCCATTATAGATGGTTGGGAGCTACCATGTGGTCGCTGAGAATTGAACTCAGGACCTCTGGAAGAGCAGCCAGTGCAATTAATCGCTGAGTCATCTCTCCTACCCCCAGGGAAACATTTTTAAGAGAGTGGTTAGCTGGGGGAAAGAGGCTGCCATGAGGACCAGGGAAAAGGGCAAATTATTATTATTATTATTATTATTATTATTATTTTGAGACAGGGTTTCTCTGTAGCTTTGGAGCCTGTCCTGGAACTAGCTCTTGTAGACCAGGCTATCCTCGAACTCACAGAGATCCATCTGCCTCTGCCTCTCGAGTGCTGGGATTAAAGGTGTGTGTCACCACTGCCCAGCAAGATGGGCGATTCTTGACTTCTGACCCAGACCTTCTCTGCCTACAGATCCAGAAGATCATTAAGGAGCCAGTCCCAGACAGTGGGCTGCTGGGCCTCTTCCAAGGCCAGAACCCCCTCTTGCTGAACTCCAGACCCTGACCTGAGGGGGAAGCATCCTTTCCCTCATCTCTGAATCCCAGGAGACCACCCTGAGGCCTGCCCAGTGGGAGGGGAGGGGTGGCTATGCCTCCTGCTTGAACAACTGGACTTGGAAATGCAGATGAGATTTCTGAGTGTGGAAGGGGTGGGGGCTTGATTGAGGAGAGGTGGACAAGGGTCTCAGCTCAGGTCCACCTCATGAGATGGAAAAATCAAAGAAAGGGCAAAGAAGCCTCACAGTCTGGGACCCCAGACTCCGAATAAACGTTGATGCGATTATGCACCAAACCATTGGGTTTGTGGGGCATCTCAGCGGCTCCTGGGGTGTGCAAGTGAGAGAAGAAAATGAGGCGAAGTGAGGAGAAGGGCTAGCCACTACCCCTGGCCAGTTTTGAGTCTGAGCCTGCCTTCCAACCATCCAGATATCTGGACCCCAGTCCCTGCAGCTCCTGTGGGAGGGAGGAATCCTAGGCCTCCCTTCTGGGCCTGAGAGCTGGAGGACTGGACAGCAACCCCACCCCCACCCCAGGCCATCTCCCGAACCCAAGAATGTGTGTCTTGGACAAAGAGACACACAGACATACACACAGGAAGGCAGGACCTGCTGTGGTCAGGACAAAAGACTGGGAGAGGGAGGCGAGAGCGAGGCATGATGGCACAGGCCTGCAAACCAAGCACTGCCTTAAAAAAAAATCTCGCTAGGCGGTGGTGGCGCACGCCTTTAATCCCAGCACTCGGGAGGCAGAGGCAGGCAGATCTCTGTGAGTTCGAGACCAGCCTGATCTACAGAGTGAGTTCCAGGACAGGCTCCGAACTTATACAGAGAAACCCTGTCTCAGAATCACCTCCGTGCCCCAAGATCCCCAAATAAAAACTAAGTCCAAATTCTCCCCAGCTCAGAGCCCCCAGTCACACTGGCCTGCCGTAGTCCCCAGAGTCCCACCTCGGTGGCTTTGCTGTTCCTGCTCCTGGATCCCGCGCCTTCCTACAACTTGCTTCCGCTCAGTGGCGGAGACCACACCCTGACCGGCCAATGTCCAGGAGCCAATCAGTCAGCGGCACATTTTATTTATATCCCAGCAGCTATTCTGATCAGAAGTTCGCATTTCATCTGGCTGTGGAAACTCTCTGAGGGTTCTCATGTATTCTCTCTCACCCCCCACATCCTGTTTGAGCACCACAAGGTGGGGCTCCTGTCCACCTTTGTCTACTGCAGGGTCATAACACCAAGAATTGGGGGACTATTGAAAGAGAGAGCAGACACCAGGGAGAGAAGAGTGGGGGAGGGAAGAGGAGGCAACCTGTGCTGGGAAGGGAGAAAGGAAAATTCATAGGCAGGGAGTGAACAGAGGGGCCCTGGGCCCAGGAGCAGAGCTCCTGGTGGTACCCAGTGAGCGTCTGGGATTGGTTTGTTGTACAGGTTTGTGGGTTCTGGGGCTGGAACCCTGGGATGCTTGCACATTGGGCACACAGTCTACCAGCTGAGTTGTACATCTCAGGACTGTCAAGAGGGGAGATTGGGTCGGGCCTGTGTCTCGAATAGGTTTCAAAGGGTCCCCCAGCCATCCAGAATTCCTCTAGGATCCCAGGCACAAGGTGCCTCCCAACTGTCCACCCAACCCCAGCCTAGAGCTGTAGGCTCTGGACTTTCCCCGTGGGCGTTCTGGGGAGGGGGCAGAGGACTGGAGAACCTTGGAGCCTTCACTGGGGTTGGGTCTCTCTGGTTTCCTGGGCCTGGAGCAGGAGAGATGAGTTCAGACGCCTCTTGGGGTGTCTGGCAGAAGTCTTCAGTAGCCACCAGGGGACATGCAGGAGTGAGCAGAATGTCATCAAAGAGGTCAAGTGTCGAGGTGTCCAGAGCAGCTAGACTTAGGCTGGGGCCATCGTCGTGGGGCACTTCCACGGGGGCCTCAGCACAGGCCACCCCCAGAAAGGGGGATGGAGGCAGTGGAGGTGGTCTTCTGGGTGGTGGTCTCTGGGGAGGTGCTTTTTGAGACAGGATGGACAGGGCCAGGTGCTGGGTGGCGGCTTCAATCTTGGCAAACTGCCTGGGGTGGGTGGGGGAAAGAGAGAAAGGGAGAGAGAGAGAGGGAGAGAGAATTTCAGCTTTGCCTGCAAAAGACCTCTCTTATAGTTACCCCGGCTTTACCCAGAGATACTGTTCCTTCTTTTCACCCACCCCCCCTTCTTTTTCCTCCAGGCTCATTTCCTGGCCCCCGCCTTCGTTTTCTTGAGTCTGGCAAGTCAATATGTCTTCTCAGGAAGGTTTTGATTGTTGTAGGGTTGTGCACTGCACATCTTGAAGGTGAAGATTTATTATCGCCGTATTCCAATATATAAAAACGAACTGTCTGGGGGAAGAGCGCCTTTCCAATCAATAACCGCTAAGGGAGCCGTGGGCCGGTGCGCGCCACCGTGTGGAGTGCAGCCCATTCCCTGTATCTCCTGACAGAAGCTAAGACAGTGGCGTCTCCTGGCACTTCCAGCCCTCAGCATCACATGGGTGGCTTCCTAAACAACTGGGGCAGAACTGTGCCCCCAAATTCTTTTGTTTCTATAAATTAAATTTTATGTAACTTAAAAAAAAACACCTATTTTATGTGTATGTTCCCTCCACCTCCTTCCTGCCCCTCTCTCCACACCACACACGAAGGTCAGAGGACTGCTTTATATGGATTTTGTTTAAAAAACGTCTTTAAGTGTGTATGTATTTATGGGAGTGTGCCTGGTTGCCTGTAGAGGCCAGTGGAGGGTTACAGGGGTGGCGAGCCACCTGGCATGTGCTGAGAGCTGCACCCAGCCCCTGGAAGAGCAGGAGGGTGTTTAACGAGAGCCATCTCTCCAACCCTGTTCTTCATAGTTGACTCAAGAAGTCAGGCTTGGCTGCAAGTGTCTCCACGCTGAGCTGTCTAGCTGGCCTATGGTGGCTGATCTGTATATATGTGTATTCTGTGAGTGTCGGTCCAGACGGGAAAGCTAGAAATGGACCGTGAGAGGAGAAATGCGGCTCTAAGGAAGGATGCTGAGGAAGGTAGCAACAGCAGAGATGCAGAAGGAGCAGGATGGTGAACGACTGTGGGTGGATGAGGCCAGCACAAACTGAGTGTGTGTGAAAATGCCACTGATGGGACTGGAGAGCCGGCTCAGGGGCTCACAGCGCAGGCTGCTCTGCTGGAGGACCTGGCTTCCATCCCCAGCACAGCCATCACAGATGGGGCGGGAGAGCTGGCTCAGGGGCTCACAGCGCAGGTTGCTCTGCTAGAGGACCTGGGTTCCATCCCCAGCACAACCATCACAGATGGGGCTGGAGAGCCGGCTCAGGGGCTCACAGCGCAGGCTGCTCTGCTAGAGGATCTGGGTTCCATCCCCAGCACAGCTATTACATGGAGGTTCACAGGCATTGGTAACCCCAGTCCCAAGGGAGATGACACCCTCTTTTGGCCTCTGAGGGCACTACATGGTGTGTGGTGCACAGACACACAAGCAGCAAAACACATAAAAAATAAAGCTTTAAAACCCCACAAGGAAACCAGTCACTTTGTATACTAATTTAATTTGTATACTATTTTTTGAAATTAAATTTTAAAAGAGAGGGGAATAGCCACACCTGTAATAAAGAGTCTACACACAAGACCAACTGATTCATACATTACGATGTTGCAGACAAACCATTCCATGCTATCTTAGTTGTGTTAATAACCATTCATAGCAGGTGCTGTGGCTCATGCCTGCAGTCCCAGCATTGGAAAAAATGGAGACAGAAGGATCAAGCATCCAGTGTCATCCTTGCTCACATATTGAATTTGGAGATAGCCTGGGCTATATGGAATCCCACATCAACAAAGAGATAGCCTGGGCTATATGGGATCCCACGTCAACAAAGTAAGAATTCCAGAGACAGAGAAGAGAGGGAGGATATTAAATAATAATCCAAACTCAGATGGGCACGGTGCTACAATATGTAATCTCAATCTTCTGGGAGGCTAAAGCAGGAGAATTAGTGGGTGTTTGAGATCAATCTGGTTCACATAACAAGTACCAGCACAAAGAAATACTCTATCTCAAAATAACAGCAACAACAACAGCACACACACACACACACACACACACACACACAAATTTGAGGATAATTCCTCCCTTAGGGTTGGGAATATAACTCAGTTGGAGTGCTTTCCTAGCGTGCACAAATCCCTGGGCACCGAATACACTGAGTGTGGTGGTGCACACCTGATTAGTGGAGGCAGGAGGATCAGAAGCACACTCGTCAGTGAGTGCTAACTCACTACGAATCAATAGTCAGGTGCTTATTAGAGCACGCGATACACGTAAGCGTCATATGCAGCTGTCATCACTACCATCATCTTCATTATAGCCAGCATTATTATTGCCACCACAATCGTCATCATTGTCGCCATCATCCCCATCATACCTTCACCATCTTGATTATCATAACCATCATCACTGTCACTGTCATTACAACTGTCACCATCAGCACCATTGTTGTTATCACCACCATCCATCATCACCTTCTTATCATCACCATCACCACCATCATCACCACCGTCACCATCATCAACGCTCACTGTCATCACCATCCTGATTATCATTACCATGACCATTATGTCACTACAGCTGCTACCAACACCACCATCACCTTCCTGCCATCACCACCACCACCCTATCTTCAGCACCAGTGCGTTTACCCTGGCTCTGCCTGCCGTTCAGAGCTGAGTGTGCCCCCCCCCCACTTCTCCAAGTCTTTGTGCAAACTCAGCGAGTCTTCCCTGACCCCCTCCTTTAGAACGGCCACACTCGCTCCTAGCCCATTCCTCCTCCATAGCGTTTGCCACCTTCTAATGCAGCCTAATTTTTAAAGTCCAGGTAAAAACTTAGGTAACATAAAATCCACTGTTTTGCTTGTTTTGAGACAGGGTCTGTGCGTAGCCCAGGCCGGACTTGAAATCCTTGTGTAGCAGAGGATGACCCTGAATTCCTGATTTTTTTCTCGACATTGAACTGGTGTGGTGGTGTACGCCGGTGACTCCAGAAGTTTGAAGCAGAAGGATCAGGATCAGGAGTTCAAGGTCACCCTTTGCTATATAATTGAGTTTGAGGCCAGCCCGGGACACACAAGACCCTTTGTCAAAAAAGGGGGGGTCAGTTAATCCACGGTCGCCCTGCCTCCACCTCCTGGGTGCTGTGATCACAGGCTGCTGACCATGCGTGGTTTCACACTGTGGTGAGGACGCAACCTGAGCTTCATTCATGCTAAGCAAGCATGGCACAGGCTGGCAGGAAATAGCTTCAGCTTTGTATTATTGTACCGGGAAGTTCGATAGTGGGATACGTTGTTAACAAATGCGCTTATGTGAAACATCGTTTCTACCCACACTTCTCGCTTTATGTTATTTTGCTAATTGACTTTTTATAGTTTTTATACTATGGAAAAGACACCATACAGAAAGCAAATCTGAGTGGATTTTTTTTTTAATTTGAGTACAAATAAAGCAGAAGACACAATTTAAAACATCAACAATGAGTTTCACCCAGGACATTCTAAGGAACAAACAGGTCCAAAGTGACTCAGGAAAACGGGTTTGCAGGGTGTGGTGGCACACACATTTGCACACACCTTTGACCCCAGCACTCGGGAGGCAGAGACAGGTGCATTTCTGGAGTTCAAGGCCAGCCTGGTCTACAGAGTGAGCTCCAGGACAGTCAGGCTACACAGAGACACCCTGTCTCAAAAAGGGGGTGGAGGGCTGGAAAGATGTCTCGGCAGTTAAGAGCACTGCCTGCTCTTCTGGAGGTCCTGAGTTTAATTTTAATCTACCACATGGTGGCTCACAACCATCTGTAATGAGATCTGGTGCCCTCTTCTGGAATGCAGGAGTACATGTAGGCAGAACACTGTAGACATAAATAAAATCTTTGAAAAATGTTTAAAATGCTTGAAAAAGTGGCCGTCAGCTGTAGAGCACATGTGAGTGTAGTTGCCCGTGGAGGCCAGAAGAGGGCTCCAGATCTCCAGTGTAGGTGATGGGAACGGAGCGTGTGCCCCGGGGAAGAGCAGTGCCCCCTCTCAGCCTCTGAGCCCAGTCTGTACCCTTCAAGATTGACCTTTACACTACAGGAATGATAATAATAATAAACCCTCGTTTTTCTTTGCCAAAAATGTGTTAATCGTTATAGTTTCTATTTTGTTCTATTTTGAATAAAATGATGTGGTTTTTACGCATACACAGCACACACCAAATTAAAAATAAATGTTAAAATACCATACATAACAATATTTCTCAACCTTCCTAATGCTGTGACCCTTTAATATAGTTCCTCATGTTGTGGTGACCCCTAATTATGCATTTATTTTCGTTGCTTCTTCATAACTGTAATTTTGCTATTGTTATGAATCATAATGCAAATATCTTATATGTAGGGTATCTGGCCCCTGTGAAAGGGTCATTCGGATCCCAAAGGGATCAAGACCCACAGGTTGAGAACCTTGAAAAAGAGTCAGGCAGTCACCTCTGGACAGGTGACTACAGCAGATGAGGCAGAACCTCACAACCCAATTCGTTCTGCTTTTCAAAACTGGATGTTTGGTGGACCTACTTGTAATGATTTAAAATACATAGTTCAAAACTGGAATTCTTTTCCTACCAACCTAGTAACACACACACACTTTCCCATCAGCCCTCCCTCCACACCTGCTATTTTGACACAAGATCTCACTTAGTCCAGGATAGCCTTGAACTTCATGTATAGACCAGGCTGGCATGGAACTAGCAGCAATCCTCCTGCCTCGGCCTCTGGAGTGCTAGTGTTGGGGCTATAGGCACGTGCCACCACATTAGACCAGTGTTCACTATCTTCTACAAGCAATGTCTCTAATTAGCTCCAGGACTTTCATCCCCTCCAAAGGGGACCTCTTACCTGTAACCACTGCCCTTCTGCCGGTGTGTGCCTGGCAGCTTTGTGGGGTCTTCATGGCATCCGACTGGACGGCTGAGGTGCATTCTCCTGAATCGCCTTTTCAAGGTACGTCCACACGGTGGCGCCATACCCTCTCGTTTATTTACTTCACTTGTGAGGTAACCTAACCTGGCTGGCCTCTTACATGCTACAACAAACTGGCTGCAAACTCAGCCATCCTCCTGCTTCGGCCTCAGGAGTGTTAGGATTACAGTTGTGTGCCACAATGCTTGGCTCATATACTTATTTATTCAGGCCATTTCTTACCTTTTACCACCCCACAGGGACTCAGTGCAGGCTGGAGATTTTCTTGACCCTGCTCAGTGATGAGTGTTGACTGAAGCGCACAGAAGAAGGTGCTTGGCAAACGCACGCTAAATGGTGCTAAATCCAGCCTAGGGGCCTCCCGGGGCCCACCGGTGCCTCCCCTCCAGAGCCCTCCTCACCTGCAGATCTGGTTGTGTAGAAACCTCCGGTGGTTGGGCTTGCGCTTGGGGGGCCGGGTACGCCTGGGCTGCAGGGCTCGCAGGATGTGGGCTGAAGCCCCGCTCACAAAAGCGCACAACTCTCGGGGCCCTGGTTCAGAGAGCCCAGGGGCCGCAGGGAATCCAGGGTGCATGGCCGGTTGCTCTGCAGTCACAACGCAGATCAGAAATCAAACCCCAAAACCGGGATGGGACAGGAGGAGCATCCAGACTCAAGTCTGACACTTTAGAATGAGAAGCTACCCTGGCAGATAGGGTGAGCCTCCCGCTGTGCCTGTCCCACCGCAGATGCTGGACTCCAATGTCTGCAGGTGAGGGACTGTTATAGGAAGGCGGGGGCAGGGTGGAAAGGGCGCTGCGCATCTCCTATGTGCCCAATTAACACATAGTTGGGCCTAGGATATAAAACAGGGGCGCGTGGGTGCGCAGGCAGAGAAAAGCTCTCAGAGGTAGCCAATTAAGGGGACAAAAGCCTCTTTAGCAAGGCCAAGGCAGGCGCAGAGTCAAACACAGCGATTAATGTCGAGGGCCTTTAGGAGACTTGGGGAGGGGCTTGCCGGTGGCTGGAAGAAGAGTCCAGTCTCTGAGAGGGGTGCTAGCACCTCTAGGCCCAAGTCAAGAACTCCAGATCGGTCCACCACCCCAGACTCACCCCAGCCCGGGGTCTACTTCTTTGTCCTGAGGCCAGAATCATGAAGAAGAAATTGAGGCCTCTGGTCTCTGGGATGCAGGAGGAACAGAGTTCCAGGACTATATAGAGAATCTCTCTCTCTCTCTCTCTCTCTCTCTCTCTCTCTCTTCCCCACCCCCGTGTGTGTGTGTTATCATCTAGTGAGGCACACACAGGGCAGGCAAGTTGCCAAGCAGAGGAGGAGGGTGGAGATGATCAGATGACCATGGGGGTCAGCCACAGGACAGCAGGTAGTCACCCGGCAGGGATGAGATCTGTAGAAAAAGACCAAGGAAGCCCAAAGCCATGATTAAGGAGTTTAAGTGCATGCTCAGGCTCTGCCAGAGTCTGATGGAAAAAGAAGAAAAAGGCCGGGCGGTGGTGGCACACGCCTTTAATCCCAGCACTCGGGAGGCAGAGGCAAGGGGATGAAAAAAAAAAAAAAGAATTCAGTTTTGGTCCCAGTCTGTGAGACTTTTCCACCTCATGAGGTGGACCTGAGCAGAGTCCCTCATCCACCTCTCCTCAGTCAACCCTCTGTCCTGATGGCAGGGTTCCTGCTTCATGAAAGAGTCTGCGAGACATTCTGCAGGATACAGAAGAAAGTGACTGGCAAACTGCCAATATAGGCGGACCTGTCTTTGAAATTTCCTGTTTCATAGAAAAGTCTGCTGGATACTATGGGCCTGTAGACTGAAGATGGATGCCCCAATGGTACAGAAAAACTTTGGGTGACTTTCCAGGTAGCGAGATGTCTCTGTCAATTCTAGAGTTTTGGAAGTTGCTTCCAATGAACTTATTGTTTACTTAGGTAATATTATACCCTTCTGGAGTCTTTGATGGAGTTGAAGAATTTATAACTATAGTTATAGTTTTCCTTAGTTATAATAAAAGATAAAATAGATATAAATATTGTAACTGCAATTCTTGCTTGATAACTGTTTTGTTATATGTAATTTTACTGTGCTAAAGTTAAAACCTTCCTTTTTATGTAAACAGAAAAGGGGAGGTGATGTGGGATTTCCCTCTGTATGCTGTGATTACCATTAATGAATAAAGAAACTGCTTTGGACCTATAGCAGGGCAGAACTTAGGTAGGTAGGGAAAACTAAACTGAATGTTGGGAGAAAGGAGGTGGAGTCAAGAGAGAAGCCTTGTAGCCCTGCTGGAGACAGATGCTGGGAACTTTACCCAATAAGCCACTGCAACGTGGCAGTACAGAGATTAATAGAAATGGGTTAAATTAATTAATTAAATTAATTAAGAGTTAGCCAATAAGAAGCTAGAGCTAATGGGCCAAGCAGTGATTTAATTAATGCAGTTTCTGTGTGGTTATTTCAGATCTGAGCTGCCAAGTGACCAGAATGACCAAGTGGCCTTCCCAAAACAAACTGGTGCCCAGTGAAACAAGTAACCTCCTCCAACACTATCCCCCACCCCTTCCACACTCAGAAGCCTCATTTGTATTTCCAAGTCCACTTATTTAAGCAGGAGGCATAGCCACCCCTCCCCTCCCACTGGGCAGGCCTCAGGGTGGTCTCCTGGGATTCAGAGATGAGGGAAAGGATGCTTCCCCACTCAGGTCAGGGTCTAGAGCTCAGCGAGAGGGGGTTCTGGCCTTGGAAGAGGCCCAGCAGCCCACTGTCTGGGACTGGCTCCTTAATGATCTTCTGGTCTGGGTCAGAAGTTAAGAATCGCCCATCTCACCAGGCAGTGGTTGCACACGCCTTTAATCCCAGCACTCAGGAGGCAGATAAAGGCGGATCTCTGAGTTCGAGGCCAGCCTGGTCTACAAAGTAAGTTCCAGGACAGCCAGGGCTGTTACACAGAGAAACCCTGTCTTGAAAACCAAGCAAACAAACAAACAAAAAGAATTATTAGGTTATGGGGGCTTGCACTAAGGTGGGAGAGAAAAGCCCAGAAGACTAGACGATGTGAGCAGGGCAGGCTCTTCCTAGGAAGAGCTGGCATGAACAACGCATGGAGTGAAGGTTAGTGGTGTGGAAGCCTGAGGATGTTGGAGACAGCACGAATGTTGACCTTTGGGTAAAGAAAGTGGCCCGGGAGGAGCGAGCTTAGACTGAGGCCATGTATGCTGCACCAACGCCAACATGATATCACGTGTCCCATGCTGCCAGTGGAGACACAGGATCTAATGTCTACCCTGTTGGGTTTGGGTTTTGCTTTGGTCCGCTCTCTTTCTGTAATCTTTCCAGCCCTCCAATTTGGAACAGGGGTGCTTACTCTGTATATCAGAATCATGGAACTTGCTTTTTGATTTTTCAGGGGTTCACAGCTAAGGGACTGCCTTGAATCTTGGGAGAGACTTAAAAATATATCTATTTTTGTGTGCTTCCATTTATGTCTGTGCCCACATGCCTGGTGTCTCTGGAGGCCAGAAGAGGGCAACTGGTTCCTTGGAACCGGAGTTACAGACAGTGTGAGCCATCGTGTGGGTGCTGGGAATCAAAGCAGATTCTCTGGAGCAGTACCTAGTGCTCTGAAACACCAAGCCACCTCTCCAGTCCTCTTAATATTTTTTTTTAAATTAATGATCATCCTCATGGCTCATTGGGTAAAGGTGCTTGTCCCTAAGTCTAAAACCTGAGTTCAGTCCCTGAGATGATGAAAGGCAAGAACTGTACTAATAAAAGTGGTTTTCTGGCTGCCAAGCTTATCATGGTATACGTGCGCACACACACACTCTAAAGAAATAAAAGAAAAAAATTAAATTACATTTATCTCCTTATTCCATTTGTGTGCACATCGTGTGTATGCCACACAACATGGGCTCAAGTCAGAGGGCTATTTGTGGGAGCCGCTTTTCTCCTTCCACCCGATGGCTGTGATTAGACCCGCAATGTTGTCTCACCGGCCCTCTGCGTGTCGTTCTTTTAGTTAAGAAGGCTAATGCAGGGCTGGAGAGATGCCTCGGCAGGTAAGAGCAATAGCTGCTTTACAGAGCAGGGGTTTCAGTTCCTTGTGACCACACCAGACAGCTCGCAACTGCCTGTTGCTCTAGCTCCCGAGAATCTGACACTCTTTTGGCTTCCTCAGACACCAGGCCCACATGTGGTGCACAGACATATATGTAGGCACTCGCACATACACAGAAAATAAAAATAGATTTAAAAACAAACAAATCTTAAAGAATCTGCTCCCCTTGCCCAGGAATTAAGAGAGAGTTCTTTCTTAGCAACTTCTTGGGATGTAACCTGAGAGTCAATAAGAAATGGCCTTGTGGCTAATGCTAAGGCAGTTAGGAGCCTGTCCTTACACCTGAGTGTATCTTATCCCCCGACTCTCCCTTGGGAAGCTCATGTCTGCATTGGATGTGTCTTTCTTCTGAGTTTCTTCCTTTCCTTTCTTTTTCTTTCTTTCTGTTCTTCCTTTTCTTTTTCAAGATAGGGTTTCTCTGTGCAACCCTGGCTGTTCTGGAACTTGCTTTGTAAACCAGGCTGGCCTTGTGTGGAGCTATGTCTGTCCCCTTGCTACTGACAAGAAGACCCTGGTTATCACAGATGTCTCCAGTAAGAGCTAGGCAGAGGTGGGTTAGTGATAAACGTATCTTTTGAATAAACATAGAGAAAAGCCTGTAGAAGTCCATTGCGGTGGTGAACCCTGTAATCCCAGCATTTGAGAGATAGAGGCAGGAGGATTAGGAAATCAAGTCCAGTGTGGAGCTGGTGGTGTGTGGGTGTGAGCTTCGCAGTCCCAGAGTGTTTGGCTTGAGGCATTGGCTTTGAACTAGTGGATTTCTGGAGCGTTTTAAGGAACTGGTGCTGTGATTAAGTGTGTGTGTGTGTGTGTGTGTGTGTGTGTGTGTGCACACCTAGGGCAGTTCCACTGGTAACTAGTGGACATAGACGGGAGCTCCGGGTGACCACACTACAATGCACAAGAAGCGCCCATGAAAAACCACCAAGCAAAGCCCAAACTCATCTCACGCTTGTAATCCCAGCTCTGGGGAGGTGGAGGCATGAGGATCATGAATTCAAGGCCAGTCTGGGCTGCATACTGGGCAACCTACATGAACCCGTGGCCTCACAAAATACATAAATAAATAAAACAAAATAATCTGTCCCAAGTCATCCTTGCCCTGACTGAGAAAGCCTGCGTGATCCACACCGTGGATGCCAGCGAGCAGGAGGAAAAAGGCAGGTTTGCAGGGGGGACCTCAAACTCCCCGCGAGACCCAGGCCATGCAGGAAGGTGGCATGCCTCAGTTTCCCCCGTCCGAGGAACTCCTCTCCAGGAGGACGGAATCCAGACCGAGACCTACACACGCCTCACTCCAGGACCCCAGGAATCACGCAGCACCCGGAGCACCCCAGTGGGGGGTGGGGTCGGGCTGGGAGCGGCGTGTTGCGTCATGACGCACGGCGGCGGCGGCGGGGTTTGTGTGCGCGAGAGGCCGCCGATAAAGGTTGAGTGCCTCGCGCCGGGGGCCGTGGGGAGGGAGCGCGCCCCCGCCCCCTCCCTGGCCGCGGCTCCCACAGCGCTGTGCCGGGCCCCGCTTCCCGTCAGCCCCCGCGGGAAGGCCCTGGGGTTCTCCTTGATCCCCCTCCCAGACCGGGGCCACAGGTGAGAGACCGGAGGGCGCGGTG